AAACCAGGCTCAGCCAGGTTGACATACAATCTTAACTACCACAGGATGGATATGGTGTTTTTCTTCCAAACTTTTATACTTTTTAATTTTACATGATTATTTTTATATGACCTCTTCTGTGACATTATACTGTATTAAAATTTAGAATCAAAAAGGGCAGAAAATATGTAGTTATAAAATATTTCCAGGGAAATTGCCTCTTTTATCTGTCACTGAGTATTAGAGTGCTATTCCTGGATGGTAACTAATGTAGGCTACAGTTCAATATGTTTAATTGTACATGACTTTAGAAACTATTTTCTTCCACGGTTATTAAATGCTTATGTATATAAGGTATTGTGCTATGTGCTGTATAATGTAGAAAGTTGAATATGTCTTTGAGGAGCTTAAAATATAACATGAAAGAATTAAACATACACGAAGTATACAATCAAAATTAAAGTATTATGGCTGTCATGAAAGGGATAGAAATATACTCTTGGATTTCAAAGCAAAAAGGGACAATAATCAGTGGTGGATGAAAGATAATGGAATGGGCACTTGATGAAGGCATTGTGATATGGGTGAAATTGTGACTGCTGGAGAGAAACAAGATGATCTAAGCAGTGCCTGTATGAATGAAGATAAAGAAAATGGATAGCAGTGAGCTTTTTGTGGATCAGTAGATGTTTCAATGTTGCTAGAATGGTGTATGTGCATAAGGAAGTAATGGTAGGTAATAGGAGGAAAGATGAATTAGAGTTATACAGTATGCCAGTGGTTCCCACAGTTGACTGCCCTGAATAATCAGCTGGGAAACTTCCTAAACATACCGGTGCCTGGATTTTGTCATGGCCAGGATTCCAAAGGCTTGGGTTAGGTGGGGTCAGTTTAAAAGGTGCCCCCAGATGATTCTAAATAAAAGTTTATATAAAAGGTTTTGAGAGCTCTTGAATTCCGGGATGAAAAGTGAAAAATCCATCCTTAATTTGGTAAGTAATGGGACAACACTGAAAGTTCTTAAGGTAAATGATATATAAATAGAAAGTGCTTTTAGAAGGTTCGTGATTTAGAGAAAGATAGGATTGGTGTTGGAAATGCAATAGAAAAGAAGAAGTGTGAAATAAATATTATACAATTTAATGCATAGGGCTTGACAAGAAGTTGAGTATATAGAACCATGGGATATAAGGCTGTCAGTGGCAACCCAGTTATCACTGAAAAAATGGAAGTGTTGGGGCAGTGGACTGACAGAAATAAGTAGTCAAGTGACAATTTGGATAGACCTGCAATATAAAGTTAGTTTTGCATGTGCTGATTTTAAAATGCTAACGGAGTAAGTATATATAAGGCACTTGTAAATATTAACTCTGAAACAAAAAAAAAAAAGGAAAAAGTCAACATATCTGGCATAATCCATATAAGTATTCTAATTTAAAATATAAAACAGTCTCTAAGAGAGACTACAAAAGAAAGATAAATTAACAATTTGACAGTAATACATTTAAAAAGCAGGAGAGAGTAGTCTATGAAGAAACAGGTTTTAACCTCGTAGAACCATCAAGGAAATATGAATTGTGAAGGTAGTTCGTGGAACTTTGAAAATGAGTATAATTGATGATGTGAGACAATGATGAACAATTGAGGAGGATGACGCTTCAGAGTTCAGGTTTGCTGTGCTGGAAGTTTCTGGTGGCCTTTAGAAAGATATTTTCTGTTTGATAGCCCACATCAGAAAAAAAAAAAAAAATGTAATTGGGTAAGAAGTGGGTAAGGGGAAGTCACAGTTAGCAAGCCTTGAGTTTGTGTTTATGGTCATGGAAAATTTAGCAACAGGTATTAGTGATGATTATACAGTATGATAGGAGCTTTAGTAGCATAGTGCCTAAGGCAACTGCTAACCAGAAGACTGGTGGTTCAAACCCTCCAGCCACTCCTCGGAAGGAAGGTTGGGCAATCTACTTCCATAGTGATACTGCCTTGGCAACCCAAGGAGGGGTCGTTATGAGTCGGGTCCAACTCCAAGGCACATAACAACAACAACAACATACAATATGATTAATTGGTGTTCTTAAATTGTATACATAAAAATGTTACATTAGCAAATGTTGTGTTATATATATTTTACAACAATAAGAAACAAGTGATTATCTAGAAATCAGAAACAGAGTTTTATTTTGTTACGGAAAAAAAAATTATTAAATTGCTAATGAGAAGATATAAAATAGAACCATAACTAAAATAGATAGGTGTCTGATTGTGTGTTAAGGAGAGTTTGGCAATGGAATATAGCATTGGCAAAGGGGCAAGGGATAACAATACCTATTCCTCAGAAGCAGTAGTCAATGAAAAAGGGAAATAAAAATACTTGGATTTTGTAGCTAAAATATATGAAATATTATGGGGCTTTACTGACTGTGTAGCACTGTTGGGAATATATAAGACAGGATTCAAGGTAACCCTAAAATTTTGATCTTGATAACAACCTGAGAGTTGATAACATTATCAGGGTAAGGACCACTGAAGAGAGATTGCATTGAGCAGGGAAAAGAAGTGGTTGCCTTGGATGGTTTTTGGAGAGCCATGGGAAGTTTCTATATGTCCATAAGGCAAATGAATATGTATCTCAGCATGCCCACAAAATAGTATTTAACTAATTTATAAAGATATAATACCTAAAGCTTTGGAATAAGATAAAACAAATGAAAGAATGAAAAAAGAGACAAGGTGGGGGAGTCAGTAGTACCTCATCGTTTTCTTATACTTAAAGGATGTTGCCTTTATTTGCCGCCAAGTGGGACCTGACTCATAGCTACCACTCCTTGGGTTTCCGAGGCAGTATCACTAGAGAAGTAGATTGCCCAAAGGATAGAGGGATAAAAAGGAGCTAACTGGTGGTGTAGTGCCTAAGGCATTTGAGTGCTAACCGGAAGGATGGTGGTCCAAACCCACCAGCCACTCCTCAGAAGGAAGGTTGGGCAATCTACTTCTGTAGTGATACCGCCTTGGAAACCCAAGGAGAGGTCACTATGAGTCCGATCCAACTCAACGGCACTAAGTTTGTTTTTTTGGTGGTTTTTTTTTTCATGAAGAATATTGAATATACCATGGACTGCCAGAAGAACAAACAAATCTGTCTTGAAAGAAGTACTGCCAGAATGCTCCTTAGAAGTGAGGCTGATGAGAACTTGTCTCACTTACTTTGGACCTGATATCAGGAGAGACCAGTCTGTGGAGATGGACATCCTCACTGAGCAATCAGAGGATCAGAGGGATTGACACAGTGGCTGCAACAAACATAACAATGGTTGTGAGAATGGCATAGGCCCAGACAATGTTTCATTCTGTTGTACATAGATCACTGTGAGTCAGAACCAATCCCACGACACCTAACAACAATCAGTGATTGTAGACAGTTTTTAAAATGTTTGATTGTTAAAGGAGGGTAACAAGACCATATGCTCTGAGGCTATGGTATAAAACTCAAACTCTCCCTGCTGTCGAGTCCGTTTCTACTCAGAGTGACCCCTTCTTGGGTTTCTGAGGCGGTATCTCTATGGAAGTAGATTGCCCATTCTTCCTTCTGAGGAGTGGCTGGTGGGTTTGAACTGCCAGCCTTCTGGTTAGAAATCACATACCTTAGGCACTACGCTGCCAGACCATCATATAAAAAGAAGGTTCAAAATATAAAAACAATGTAAGTTAAAGTTGGAGTATAGAAAAAAATCTCTAATAATCCTACCTCTATAATGGCATCTCCCCTATTTACTTATAACTGTCACACAGATTTCACATTTATTGTGGTAGTGTTTTTTTAAAAGATGGCATGAAATAGGTTTTACAAAAACTCTTATATTAGAGATTTTTATGGTGGTTTCCTCCAGGGAAAGCTTTTCTAAAAAATTGGATACATGTGAAAGAAAAACTGTAGAGTAAAAAATAGAAGATAAAAGAGAGGAAGGGAAGAAATATCCCAGAGCGCATTGCACAAGAGAGGTTCAGGACAGAGTAGGAGAGGCAGGCTTGAGAATTGGAACACATTCTGAAAAAGAAGAAAATAGAAATAGAGAAGTTGTTGGAATTGAGATATTGGAGGAATTTAGCAGCCAGTAAATTGAGAGGGCATCCACAATGATCTTGAATTTATCAAGACTGACGGCACCTGTGGCCCTCAATAAATATTGCTGTTGTTTTGTAATAATTGTTTGTACATGAAGAGCTGCATGAATTCTACAAACAAACCCTAAGAATTTATTGATTTGGCTTTTCCTACAGGTACTCTGCTCCGATTGTTAAAACCCTAGAATACTGAATAAGCTGAAGCTTTCAGAAACTCTAGGTTGGCTATTCCTTCTTTTGTTATCTACAATGTGGATGCTGTTAACTCTGTAGCCTAGCTATACACAGGGAATATTGCAATCATATGCCATATTTTCATCCCAAAATTCTAATTTATCAATATCAGGTCTTTAAAAAAAATATCACTTATCATGTTATTTACAATGCCAAAAATTTGAAAATAATTTTAGTGTTTTATTAGACTTTTTTTAAAAAAATAATTGTTCATTTTGGTGGTTCTTGAGGCATTGGCATCCATTTGGTAAAGAAAAATAAACTACCTGACCATTAAAGGACGTTCCTCCCTGTAAAAGGGACCTTTTCTGAAAGTACAATTGAATGACTTACCAAATAGTTTGAGTCAGCAGACCTACTCTACTGCTATTATTCTTCTGAGCATTTAAAAGTTCAACTGCCATAGTATACTGAAACAGTTGACATTCATCCCTTTCCCTGAAGTTCAAAGATACCCACCCTCCAAAAAAATTAAAGAGAATTCTAAATATCAAGAAGTTCTTCTAACATAAACATTTAAGCATTTGTAAGAACTGGGAACTTTTCACTTTTGTGTTCTGTCGTATCACTGTCACCTTATAATATCCTTAACTCTCAGTGAATAATTGTTAAACTCAAAAAAAAAAAAAGAGCTTGTTGAATTTAGGACTATACAACCAGTAAAATTTGTGGGAAGAAAAATAACCTAGAGAGGAAGATATATTTTCATTAGTGGAAAATGGTCTCCATTACTCTCTGTGCTTTCATGGATATCAGGAGAATATTTTCATTTGCATAGAAATTTTGCTTAGTGTTTTTTAATCCAAAACTCAACTACTCCATATCTATTTCTGCTGCAGGTGGGCTTGATATCCAATACATATTTTTAATTAAAGTTCTAGTTCTTTGGTTCATTAATTAGAGGGAAATAAACTGGCACATATTTTAGTATGGGCACATGTTTCAAGCTATTTCTTAGAAGTCTATTCTTGATCAATCCTAGTGACATTTTCCTATGTTCTTTTTCCACCTAAGTGTGATCCTCTTAGCTTTTAAACCTGATAGTATCTTGAGAGACATTTAATCCATGTAGTTTATTACTTTAGCTCTTAGACATCACATTTTATCACTTCAGTGTATTGTTAAAGTTCTTTGATTCAAAAGATACTAAGCAGCTTAGTGAGTATTTAAAGAATCTTTCTCTGAGAGAAATAAAATTTAGCAATTTGTGCCAATTCCATAATTTTAACATTTTGACTTAATTCAACATAAAATTTAAAATCCACTGGAGTGATGAACATGTATTCATTGTTTCATTAGATTCAGATCTTGCATTTTAGATACTACAGTTTATTAAGCTATTTTCATTTGCTAAGAAAAAAAAAAGAGGATTCTTGTTACTCTCCAGCTTGGATTTATGCTTGCCTCTGCTTGGCAGATTAATCAGAGTATAAATGTCTTCAATGATTTAGTAACTGATATTCAGAAAAAATAAAATGAAGTTCCTCTGGAACCCAAAGCTTTTACCAATGTGGGAAACCCAAACCTTTTACCATTGAGCTAGGAGTTGGAGGAATGTGTCCATGGTTTAGTGGTTAGTACTTTTAACTTAAATAGCTCTGAGTGCCAATCTAGACTTTTGTGTTTACTAGGTTTGTGATCAGCAGCATGCCTTTTTTTTTTTTTTTTTTCC